TTGTGGGTGGAATTCAGCTTCTAGTGATTGTAGGGCAGAGTGCCCTGTTTCCTTGCTGCTTATGCTTAAAGGCTGCACTCCTTCTCGAGCTTTCTATGGTCCTCTCCTGCAATGAAGGATTCCTCTTATATCTCAAGTCTGACTTCTGCCACCAGCTGCAGAAAGTTTTCTGTTTCTAGGGGTTTGTATGATCACTGGGCCAATCCAGGGTAATACCTCCATTTTAAGGTCTGTAACCTTAATTACAAAAATAAGACACCTTATTTTCCATGTCTTTCAAAACAAGTTGTATGTCAACTTGTTGATATACATACTTCAGCATGTATTACCACCAGAGTTCATTGTTCAAGATAAAAAATGCAGAGTGAAATGTACACGTCAACTGTACAAACATACTTGTGAAAAACGAATATACCTGTATAATACAAAACCCTACCAAGATATATAGGACATTCTCACTAATCTAGAGTTTCCCATTCTCTTCTCAATCCCTACACAACACCCTCAGGCGATCTAGATCTGACCTTTCATTTAGTTTTAAACCACAGATTTGTTTTGCCTGTTTTATAACTTTCTATAGGTGGAATCATATATGTGTATAAAGCTAAATAAGGCTAACTTTGGCCAAGAAAAACTGGCCAAATATCAATAATTTATACATCCTGTTGAATTTTGTGGACCATGACTTTTTGATATCTGTTATTTCAAGAGTGTTGATTTTAAGAAGTATTCTAAAAAGTAGTATTGTAAATAAAAATAGGACACATTCTAGCCTCACCTTTTCCTAAAGCAGGGGCTTAAAAAAAAAACCAAAACCCAAAACCTCCTGTGAGGCAAACCCAGCCCAAGGACCTGTTTTTGTAAAGAGTTTTATTGGAACATGATCACACCTACTCATTTAGGTATCATCTGTGGCTGGTTTCACAATATAATGGCAGAGCTGAGTGGTTATGACACAGATTGGCCTGAAAAGCCTAAAACATTTACTATCTAAAAAGTTTGTTGGCCCCCGTTCTAACAGGTGTCATATGGCACTGAATTTTTTATGACGCAGTCTATACTTAAATCGTCACCTTTGACATTTGGCTAATTTGTTAAAGAAGGGTCTTTCCTTGCTCTTGAAAAGCTAGGATTTGGCACTATTCTAATTTCCCTAAAAAGTCTCAAAGATTAACCAACCAACCCAGATCTGAGACTTAGAATCAGTGGGAAAAACCATACTGAGCTCTAAATAGGTCTAGAATTACCAGATATTTGGCAGGGAAGGATACGTATTGACAAAAAGATGTTTGCTGGTTGCCACTCCCCACTCCCACTCTCCATATTTTTCTCAAAACGAGCAAGTAGCAGGAGAAACTGTTCAAGGGCTACTTAAGAGACTCTTTGTTACCCTGGATAGTGTCATGAAAAGACATGAGGTCTGGGATAGGTGCAGTCACATGCCTTAAAAAGGGAACATCTGGAACTGGGGAATGAACAGGACAACCATAGGCAGACCAATGGTGAAGCTTTCTTTACATCTTTTCTTAGGGTATAGAGTCAAAATGAGCCTGTTGTTTCAAAATTTTCATGAAACTAGCACTACTCTTTGAGTTTTCATTTATGTGAACTAATATGTCTTTCATTATGTGAACCTGGGTAAGTTGGATTTTGGGTCATTTCCAACCAAGAGAATTCTTCTTGGAATTCTCTTGGAAAGCCAAGTATTTCTATTCTTTAACTACTGAATGGTAGGGCATGATATTACCACTTCTAACCCTGGAACAAAAGTAACTTTTGCCCAAGCTTTCTCCAAGAATTCTGAAGCAAATGAGGGAAAAGGCCATAAATGAAGGAAAGATACAGAGTCAAGCAACAGACTGAGGTTGCCGGAAAATCATCACACTGAAGGATCAGAAGGAAGTGGAAGGATTTGCTCTGATATCTTGGGAAATGCATTATATATCTAAATTGACACTTGATTATCTTTCTGACCATCACAAGATGTCAACTGGGTCAACAGTAATGTATATTTAAAATTATGACAAACAGTAAGACACAAAACTGAATAATACGACTCCACATAGAGTTAAAAAAATCACATAAATCACATACATATGGACAAAGAGGTACAGAACTGTGGCTTTCAACTAATGGAAACTTTGCCCTACAGGAAAGTCATTTTGGCTACCACAACCGGGGAGGTGCTAACATCCAATGGGTAGAAGCCCCAGAAATGAAACTAAACAACTTACAATGCACAGAACAACACCCTTCTCTGTTCTCCCTTTTCCCCACAATTGTCCAGGACAAGATGTCAATAGTGCTCAGGTCGGAAAATTGTGGCAGAGAACTATATATCACATGTCTATTGAAGAGTTACAATAGCCAAGTTATGGCAACAACCTAAGTGTCCAAGGATGAAGAAGTGGATCAGAAAAATGTGGTATAGGGCCTCCCCGGTGGCGCAGCGGTTGAGCGCTGGGTTGCAAAGCTGCCCGCGGCCTCTGCAGTGCCGGTTCGATCCCCGGCTGCTCCCCAGCCACCGGAGGAGGGTCCCGCATGGCGCGCAGACCTCTCCTGCCGCCCGCTGCTCCCCTCAGCAGTGTACTTCGGTCCTTCTGCCTGCTCTGCTCCCCGCTCTGGCTCTGGTGAATTCTCTCACCCTCCCACGCTTCTGACTGTACCCAGTGCTTGTATAAATAAAACAAACAAACAAATAAAATAAATAAATAAAACATGCCTCTAAAAAAAAAAAATCTTAAAAAAAAAAAAAAAAAAAAAAAAAAAAAAGAAAAATGTGGTATATACACACAATGGAATACTACTTAGCTATAAAAAATGGAAAGATCAATTCTTGCCATTTGTGAAAACATGGGTAGAACTGGATACAACAATGTTATGTGAAATAAATCAAGAGAAAGAAAAATTGAAGATGGTACCATTTATATGTGGAATAAAGAGAAACAAAATAAAGGGTCAGACAAAAACAAAGCCATAAATAACAAACCCTTGACATCTGACTGCAAAACTGAGGCAACCAGAAAGGAAGGGAAGCAGGGTGGACAGAAGGAGTTCAATGGAGCCTGGTGGAGACTACTGGGGCTCTGGTGGCAGGCTTGGCGTAGAAACATACATTTGTACAGGTTTCAATCTATAAACCTTAAAACAAATATGGTGATATAAACCAACTTTTACTCAATTAAAAAAAAAAAAAAGGAGGAAAGATAAACCCTGGTGAAGGATTATATATCACACTGTACACAGTTTTCTTGAAAATAAATCACTTTTACTTTGTATTTTTTTGGGTTTTATTATTATTTTTTTTTTTGCAAAGAACCCGTACTGATTAAAAAGAAAACAAAACCACATAAAACACTTTCACTGAGTCATCCCTTCAGTTGGCTAATCTTTTGAATGCTTTTCATAGGAACTTAAGTCATTTCACCAATCTGATTATCTGAATGCTTTTGGGAGCAAGGGGCTAAGGGCCCAAACCCTGAGTATTGTATTCTGACCGGCAAGAGTGTAATCATCATTTTTTTCACTTTCCACGAGATGGTTCACATTCAGCTTATTAAAACACGCAGTTTTTCCCCCAGTGTAATTTAATGTACATATTATTCTCCACTCTGTACTTTTGAGTCTAAATACAAGAAGTTGAGAGGCTGGATTAGCTATCTCTACTAAAGTAAGGTGTGTAGCAATCTAGAGTCAAGAATACAATGAAGTTATAATTTTGTAACATAATTCAGTCAGGAGCAGACATTCTCACCACTGGCTTGGACGCTGGGTTTACCTAAATCCCCTCACACAAAGCACTTAAAAATCATCTAACAGGGTAAGCTATTTTAGTTTTTGTTACTTCATAGATTCGACAAATATATAGTGAGTGTTCAGTACTTTGTACTTACCAATGAGATCAATAAAATAAAATGAACGGCCCAGAAAACTTTATGGTTTACAGTCTTTTGCTGGGACTTCCTTACTGAAGCAAAAGCAACCTTTGTCCTGACTATCAAACAATCACTGATATCAACCTGTAGAACTACTTATAATGCATATTTTATAAAGAAAATCTGGGTATTACTTAGACTCTGAATTCTCTGCACATTTTTGGGCCCAAACTAGTGCTGAGTAAATGTTCAATGAATTAGTAGTGCACCATACCGTCATTACTATACACTGTGTACCCGCAGGCAATCACCTATAATAGAGCTTTCACTCCCGGCATCACTGAAAATAGGTAATAATAACTCTTAAACGTACCCCAAGCAAAAGTGGATTTACAAAGGCAGAAAGCACATACGGACAGGTTAGATAACTCTTTACCCTAGGATAATAAATCACAGAAACGGTACAGATTCAAGGTTGCACCCTTGAAAATGCAGAAATGGCGAAGAGGGAGTTAAATTCCCAATGCAAAGGAATTATCATTTCCCCACTAACACCAGTACACTCCCACGTCGCTTCCACCTCACCCGGGAGAAAGCTCCCGCAGAAAAGACAACGGGGGCTCCCACATGCAGAATCCACCGCAGAAACCCCGCAGGGAAGTCAGCGAGCAGCAGCCCCGCCACGCCCCCGCACAGGCCCACTCGCCCCGCCGCCGCCCGCCCGCAGGGGAAGCGCGGGGAGGCCTCGGCTCTGACGCGGCTAGGGCAGAGCGCTGTGGAGAAAGGCAAGGCAAGACCGAGGCAGGTGGGCGGGGATCAAGCCCATCCCGATCCCGCAAAACCAAGCCTACTCGAGAGCGGGCAGCCGGCAACCTCCAGCTCCAAACCTGCCTCTGAGGCACCCGGGATCCGGCCCCGGAGGGCCCCGTTGGCAGCCCCCACCCCACCCCCGCCCCTTCCTCAAGCCGTTAGCGCCGCGGCCCCACCCCTCGCTGCCAATCGCGTTCTGTCCCGCTCGCCCGAAGCCGCCACCCCGTCCGACCGCGGCCCGAGGCGTCTGCTCGCTGGAGGTGGGCCCGGGATTGCCAGCCGTGACCGAGAGGTCGACGAGCCAGTCTCCCATACCTGTACTTTTCTCCGCCCTGCTGTATTCTGCCGGTGATGGGCCGCCATCTTGCATGTTGACACTCCTACGTCACTTCCGGAGCGGCCCGAGCCGGGCGGATGTCCCGCCTTCCCCGAATCGGCGGAGGGCGGGTGGCAGGGTTGAGGGCAGGTGCTGGCCGGTGTGCAACCCTGTGACCGGATGCTCTGTGGTGAGGTAGAAGCACCCTGAAACAAAACCGTGTGTGCATATAATGCAGGCGGAGAGAGAACCGCTTTCCAGGGCAAGGAGGCAATCCAAATCCAGCTGTTGGAGCATAAACCCTGGCCAGCAGTTTTCCCGCTTGCCTGCTTTGGAGGCCCAGGCATAGGGAACGAGCCGAAAAGGATAAACAATGCTGGACATAGCTACTGAATGGACCCCACCACCCCCAACTTTACTAGGCAGTTAAGGAAGCTGAAAGATTTACCGTTGTAGTACCTAAGAATGCAGAGGATTATAAGCTGACTTAAACGGAGAAACAGAAATCTCTGGGAAGTGGTAGCCCCCAGATTCACAAGGAAAAAAGTATCCATTTAAGTAAGAGAAAAAAATGTTATAGGAAAGTGAAAGTACACACAAGGAAAAATTGTTCCCAGAGACAACTTTGTAAGTTCCAAATCCCAAAGGAGTTGGTTCTTCCTGCATTATGTGGTTTAAATCATCGTATACTGAGATGGTTAGAACCTTCTAGATGAAAGCTTGACTTGAAGTAGTTTTCTTGACACTATATAGGTGCTGAGATTGGTCAGATTCTTTCTTATAGAAAGACTGTATATTGTAATTTATCTAATTATATATTTTTACATCATTGTTCATTTTTACACAATGTTTGCTTTATCCCCTAGGGTGTAGTCCCCATAGAATTCCCACCACCAGTTCACCAGTGCACCATCACCATAGTCCCTTGTGCTCTTCCCTCCCCTGTTTTGATCCTGATTCCTCTCCCTCCTCCTCCCCTGCAGAATGTCTCTGATTTATGGTTGCCTGTTAATTTGTTGTTATTGTTATTTCCCCCCCCCCCAATCCCTTATTTGGTTCAGAATCCACTGCCACGTTGTAGCTGTTAACACTTAAAACTACAGTTGTTTTAAGTTGAGGTATGATACAACTGTAAAAATCCTACTAAAATTTGAAGACAGTGTAAGGAAAAGAATGTAACAGCTCAATAATTTTCATATTGATTATATGTTAAAATGATAATGTTTTAGATGTATTCAGTTATGTAAAACTGAAGGTTTTCATAATTAATATTAAGGTTGATGCATTTGTACTTTTTATAATGTGGCTATTAGTGTATTAAAGTTATATACATGGTTCATGTATTTCTATTGTATAGTGCTAGTATAGAATTAATGCTTTGAAAAATTCCTTTCTAGCCAATTTTTTTAAATTAAAAAAAATGTGTATGAGAGGAGTAGAAATTGATGGCAGAGAGCTTTTAAGTAAAATTGTCAATGATACTTTGTAGATAAACTATACTGCATTTTGTTGTAGACACAGCCATTCATTCATGTATTCATTCACTTCAACAAAATACTATTTAGCACTATTAAGTGCCAAACACTGTATTAGGTGCTGGGGACCCAGGGGTGAGTGTGTATAGTCATAGACTATAGAGTCCCAGGAATTAACTAAACACACAGATAAATATAGTGAAGAAAGATGGTGATGAGACAGGAAAGGATCCTGGAGTCAAGATCTGAAAGAAGGAGTTAACTAGGCAAGGAAGGGTAACAGTTTGAGTAAAGATCTTATGGAACAACAACAACAAATTAACAGGCAACTATAAATCAGAGACTAAATCAGAGCGGTCATAGAACATGCCAGGAATTGAGGGCCACAGGTATTGAGTACAGAGAACAAAGGGAAGAAGTATGCAGATGACACATCCAGCAGGATCTTTTAGATCAATGGAAAGGTACTGAAGAGATTTAAGCAGAGGAGGGATATATTCTGCCTTAAAAAAAGAAATTATTCAACAATATTTATTGAGTGCCCAAGATGTGCCAGGGTACTATGCAAGAGTATTGATCTGCACAATACACGATTGTTATGTAGTTGTAGTCCCACTTTGGACCTGGAGAACATTGAATCTGTGAAGGTCTTTCAGTGGGCAGAAGTTCTTTCCGTGGGCAGAATTTCCAGCTATGTCTTAAGGTTCACTTTGCCTGAAAGAGATAACCTTGGATGATAATTCATGGTCAGAATCCGTTGTCCAAGGTTGATTGTGCAGTGGATCAAGGACATGAAAAGAGCATGATTGGAGAACTAGTGACAAGGAAGGCGTGGAAAGGGATATGTTGACGGACCTTGCAGAATGACTCTTAAGAATCATATAGATAAAATGAGCTACTCTATGGATGAGATGCAGTTTCCTCTCCCGGGTTCTGTGTTTGCTCAGTGGAATCATGAACAAAATGGCAATGATCACAGGATTGGAGTTATGCATGGGATCACCAAGTCTGCTGAGTGTTTAGGTGGCCAGCAGCAGTGACTAATCCTGAGTTGCTGGTAATACCCTATATTCCAAGAGAATCGTCCAGCCACTAGGAGGTAAGTCAACTTCATTGAATTTCCCGGCTCATTTAGGGAGCGGGGAATACACTTCTGGAATACACTTACTCTAGTTTTAGGTTTACTTTCTCTGTTTGCTGTGCTTCTGTCAGCACCACTATCTGGGAACTTTATACACTGCCTTTGTATCTGATCACACAGTGCTCTTCATCAAGAAACTCACTCAAGGGCTCCCCTGGTGGCACAGGCGGTTGAGCGCCGCGCTGTGAAGCTGTCCGCAGCCTCCGCAGCGCCGGTGAGATCCTGGCCGGCCGGCAGGCGAGGATCCCACATGGCGGGGCAGACCTCTCCTGTTTCGCCTGCTGCTCCCCTCAGCAGTGTATTTCAGTCAGTCTACCTGTTCTGTTCCTCACTCTGCCTCTGGTGAATCCTCTCACCCTCCCGCGCCTCTAGCCTGTACCCCGGTTCTTGTATAAATAAATAAATCTTTAAAAAAAAAAGAAAAAAAAAAAGAAACTCACTCTAATGAAAGAAGTTTTGCAGTGGGCTAATGCCCATAGCATTCATTGCTCTAATTGTATATTCTTTCACCAAGAAGCATCTGATCTTATTGATACCTTCTGGGAGATAACCCTTTTTTTAAATATTTCTTTTTTTTTTTTAAAGATTTATTTATTTGTGCATACAAGAGCCAGGGTATAGGCCAGAGGTGCAGGGAGTGAGAGCATTCACCAGAGACAGAGTGGGGAACAGAACAGGGAGACTGAATGAAATATGCTGCTGAGGGGAGCAGTGGGTTAGACAGGAGAGGTCTGCTGCACCATGTGGGCTGCTCCTTGGCTGGCTGGGGCTCGAACTCATGCTGCAGAGGCTGCGAATTGCCTCATAGTGCTGTGTCCAACCCCTTGCGCCACCAGGGAGGCCTGAGATAACCCTTTTTGATGCACTCTTATAGAATGCAGTATATGCTCTGAACATCAGATGTCCACTATTTGGTGCTCTTTCCATCTGTTCCTGTTACCTATTGCTGTATAACCACTGCCAAATTTTTTTTTTTACTTTCCCTCCTCCATATGCACATGTTCCATTCACCCTGCACCCAACCACCTGTACTTCTATCCCATCTTCCTCCCTCCCCATTGTTTATCCATCTGGTAACCATTGCAGTCTGTCACTGAATTCAAGATTTATTCCTGTAATTACCTGATTGTGTGTTTGTTTGTTTTTGTTGTTATTTATAGTCAACAAATCAGTGAAATCATCGATCTGTTGAAATCACCTGTCTTTGATTTTTGGTTTATTTCACTTAGCATAATCACCTTGAGGTCAATCCATTTCATCTCAAATGCCACTATTTCATCTTTTTTCACAGATGTGAAAAAAGTATTCCATTTAGTATTTATTCCAGAATTTCATTATCCATTCATCTGTTGACAGACACTTGGGTTGGTTCCATGACTTGGCAGTTGAACCATTGCCAAAATTCTTAGTCACTTAAAATAATTACAATTTTTACTTTACATACAAATCTGAAATTGTGCAGGATTTGGTGGACATAGCTTGTTTCTGTTCCGCTTCCTACTTGATGCCAGCTAAGACAGCTGGAAAGTTGGGTAATGGAATCATCTAAAGACTCACTCCTTCACATGTCTTTAACTGATGCTGGTACTGGCTAAGTCCTTTTGTCAGAACACCTCTATTCGTGGCCTTCCCATAGCCTCTTTGGTTCCTCACAACATAATTGCTGTGTTCCTTTGGTATGCATCCCCAAAGAGTGAAATCTAGGTGGAAATGTTAATGCCTTTTCTAAACTAACAGTGAAAGTCATTTGGTATCACTTCAAAACTCATTCAATTCATTATGACTTAGTCATTTAGGCTGGCTGTATCAAAGGAGACTCCTTATATTTTTAATGAGAGAAATGTTAAAGAATTTTGAATATGTTTTAAAAGCACTACACTTCCATAGGCAAAGTTAATGGGTCTAGGAACAAAGGGGTATTATACCTAATGACCCCCACTTAAAATATTTTTAACTTCTATTCTCTGAAATTCTAGGTATTGCTCTTTTAGAGACTTATTACTGAAGAGAGGAATTTTTCCAATACAGTCTGAAAAATGATTCCATTGACTTGGAGCTGAGACAGCTATGTGACTATTTTGTATGGATAAGCAAAAGAAGAAGGTTTAGGTATTGGCTGGAGCAATTAACATTGATAATCAAACAGAAATGGGTTTGCTGGTATATCTTTAAACACATAGGCCCATCAATCATGCACTTTATTTTATTTTTTATTTTATTTTTTTTAAAATTTTTGGTTTTCTTATACTTTTTTTTTATAGAGGCATGTTTTATTTATTTATTTGTTTGTTTATACATGCACTGGGTACAGTCAGAAGCGCAGGAGGGTGAGAGAATTCACCAGAGCCAGAGCGGGGAGCGGAGCAGGCAGAAGGACCGAAGGACACTGCTGAGGGGAGCAGCGGGCGGCAGGAGAGGTCTGCGCGCCATGTGGGACCCTCCTCTGGTGGCCGGGGAGCAGCCGGGGATCGAACCGGCGCCACCCAGGCTGCGGGCAGCTTCACAACCCAGCGCTCAACTGCTGCGCCACCGGGGAGGCCCAATCATGCACTTTAGAAATGAAGGTACTAGTTGAAGGAATGGAATATAGAAAGACTAGTAGAGAAAGGAAATCATAAATGGAGTGAAGGTCTCGTTATCAAGAGGCCAAGGAATAGGAACTGTCATCTTGTATTTCCTTTCCTGATGTATGATGTGCTTTAACTTTTATTTTCTTTCTTGACATTTTACTTCACGGTTGCATGTAGAGTGTGGTATTATTTAGTCCTTCAGTTGCAGAGTAATGGATGTCAACTAGAAGTCTAGACTTAGAGATGGATGGGTGTGTGGTAATTGAAGCATTGGATTCTTAGAGAGTGACCGTGTGTGTGCATGTTTGATGATGAAGATAATTGTGATATTTTAAGTGACAATTTTTTTTTTAAGCACAAGCATTGGAAACAATGGTTGTATTTGTGTTGGGCAGTCAAAGAGATGACTTTACATATGAAATTTTGGTGGTATTGTTATGTGTATCATTAGTTGAGTCTTCTTTCTGTGTTTGGGAAATTCTACGCAGTTTGATGGTGTGATGTTGAGCATTGCTTACGCAACAGAAAGTGAGAAAGACAGTTACTCACTTTTTTCCTAGTTTTTTTTTTTTTACAAGAGGTTGTTCATATGACCTCAATTTGATATGTCAGATGACATCTTGACAGCTACCTCATAAAAACGTTGAACCAGAATCATTCAGCTAAACTACTTCTAAATTTCTGCTCTGAGGGTGTTAAGTGAGACACTAAATGTTTTTTATTTTCAGTGCCTAAGATGTGGGTGGGATAACTTGTTATGTAGCAGTAGATAACTAGAGTACTCTCCCTTCTCCATGGGGAGAGGAAATGTCTAGCACCTTCACAACTCTGCAAAGATTTCTCATGATCAGCCTCTTCGATCTTCATTTCATTGTTTGCATTCTCTTGTGTAAGGCAGGATTCCTTCAACAATCTCTTAGCATTTCCTGCATGGGAAGAGCGGCATCTTTATTTAAGATGTATGAGGATGTGATGCTTATTTATTGTTCTCATATTTTGAAACCTCTGCCTAAATTCCTAGACAGCATTAAAAATTTAACATCCTGGGGCCTCCCTGGCTGTGCAAGGGGTTAAGACGCAGCACTAAGCAATAAGGAGCAACCCATAGCCACTGCAACCGGAATTCGATCCCTGGCCAGGGATATGACCCACATGGCACAGCAGACCTCTCCTGTCTAGCCTGCTGCTCCCCTCAGCAGTGTATTTCAGTCGATCCACCTGTTCTGTTCCCCATTCTGGCTCTGGTGAATCCTCTCACCCCTGCACCTCTGGCCTGTACCCCAGTTCTTGTATGCATAAATAAATAAATCTTTAAAAAAATTTAACATCCTAACAAGAATGCAGTAAATTTAAAAAGTGAATAAGAGCTCTAGAAGGCTTCTTTCAAATAAGTCAGATTTTGTGGTGGTAAGTCAAATTAAGAAATTTGGAGGTTTCATTGGTCCTTACTCATATCAGTCATGTAAGGAAGTTAATTAACTCACTTCATCTAAAATTTCTTTATCTGAAAATGGAATAACAATGGTACTTCTCATATGGTTCTTATGAAGGTAAATGAAATAATCTTAGCATAGTACCTGGTATGTAGGGGATATGTTTCAATATATTTTAGGTATTGTTTTAATCATCACCTTGCTCGGGAAACATTGCCAAAGTGTAATTTCCTGGGATAGATTGTCTCGTGAGTAAGCTCTATCACTTTTTTAAAAATTTCAATCCAGCTTGAAATTTCATTTCTCTTCTTTCTCTTTTTCTCAATAGCTTGGAAAAAGATGTATGATATGATGAGGCCTTTGTACAGATTGACCCCGTGCTTAAGTACATGATTTCTGGTTTCATGATGAATCCATTTACTGAAGGAGGTGAAGGTACCAGGTATGTCTTCCTATCATCCATACCCCATACCTGCCATCTGGTTCACCAAAGGGGAGACATGAATATTTTTCTGGGTTTTTGATTGTTTGTTTTAATTATTTAAGAAGAATAAATATGTCTTGATTAATATATTTGTTAAAAAATAAAATACAAGCTTTGGTTTGCAACTACCACTGCCTGCTAGTGCTTAATGTATTAATTTGGATATCTTGAAAGATGTATTTAATAAAGAATAAAACTTAGCAGCTGCTTATAAATAATGCAGAAGTGCTGAATAAACTTTTTAATGCAAGTCATGAATCAATCAGATTCATGGAAAAACTGTATAACAATTTATAACTCTTTAATGATCCTCTACTCAGAAATAAAGGTGTTGTCATATATATTAGACTACAAGATCATAATTAAATAAGTATGCTTAGTAAAACAAGATTATATAAGTAAATAGAGACTCAGAATGCTTAAGATGGTTTTGTTGAAAGTTGTGTGCTATCTTATTCATGTGTTGTCAGCAAATCCTCTGGTTAAATCCAGTCTTAGAAGGTACGGCACTAAAGAACTCATTGCGGGCCTCCCCAGTGACGCAGCAGTTGAGTGCTGGGTTGCGAAGCTGCCCGCAGCCTCTGCAGCGCTGGTTCGATCCCCGGCTGCTCCCCGGCCACCGGAGGAGGGTCCCACATGGCGCGCAGACCTCTCCTGCCGCCCGCTGCTCCCCTCAGCAGTGTACTTCGGTCCTTCTGCCTGCTCTGCTCCCCCCTCTGGCTCTGGTGAATTCTCTCACCCTCCCGCGCTTCTGACTGTACCCAGTGCTTGTATAAATAAATAAATAAATAAAAATAAATCTTTAGAAAAAAAAAAACTCATTGCTCACTAGTTCAGTCATTTCTGAATATATTGGGAAGAAATCTCTTAATTTTAATTTTTTTATTTCTCGTCTATATATTTTTTTATGTATCTATATTAGAAATATAAACTAGTCCCTTTTCTTTTCCATGTTTCAACCTCTGTCTAACTTTCCCACTGGAGGGCAGTAGAGAAGCGTCTAGGATTTTGGCTCATTGGCTCTAATGTGACAAGTCAGACCTTAAAACTTAGCATAGTACTTAATTCCTACTGTTAAAATGTCACAGTGAAAGTACTTTTTCAGAAAATGTATTTGCTCCATAAAAATTCATACTTGATTATAAAACTAAAAGGAAATAAAACAAAGCTTATGCATTTATAAACATTTCCTAACTGGGCAAAACAAAAATCATTACATTACATCACAAATGTACTTTTTTTTTTATAGATTTATTTATTTATTTACACAAGCACTGGGTACAGTCAGAGGCACAGGAAGGTGAGAGAATTCACCAGAGCCAGAGCGGGGAGTAGACCAGGCAGACTGACGAAGTACACTGCTGAGGGGAGCAGTGGGCGGCAGGAGAGGTCTGCGCGCCATGTGGGACCCTCGCCTGGTGGCCGGGGATCGAACCGGCACTTCAGAGGCTGCGGGCAGCTTCGCAGCCCAGCGCTTAACCACTGTGCCACCGGGGAGGCCCACAAATGTACTTTTTTTGAGGGTAGGAAACATCCTGCTCTTAATTTATGTATATTGGAAGCTTTCTGGAAATAGAAATACTACACAGTGACATACATACTTTTTTTCCTCCCCATCCTTTTTTTCTCCCCACCCTTTTTGGTTACCTATAGGCCTGTGCCCTCGTAGGTGAGTGCCAAAGAAGGGGTCAATATTTGCCATTTCCCAAATAGAGACATGAGAAGACCTTGGCCTCCCCTCCAGGGTTACAGACTTGGGGATTGAAGGGGCAGGTCTTGCCTTTCCTGTATCAGCACAGGTGGGGGCCAGGAGCCAAAACCTGCCATCCACCGACTGGTCAAGTTGTGTTTAGGCTTACTCCCTGCTGCCATCCACATTGGGCTTGAATGTGTCTCTGCCTGGCTTCCAGCCAGGGGGACAGACTTCCCCATGCTCATTAGCGTACTACAAGGCCTGACCAGTGGCAGGCCTCAACCAAAGAACACCCCACAGACAAATCATTGATAGTGAACTGTCAAAGGACACCCTTGTCATCGATGATAAGGACGGCCCTTTAGGTGATGCCCTTGTCTTCTTCAGCATAATCGTGGAACAAGTTTCTGGTTATGTCAGCCAGCAGGGCATGTTCAGGGGCCTACAGCTCCCTCCTTTCAGGGTGGAGTCGGGTGGGGAGGTTGTTGGTCCAAGTCAGGTGAGTGAACTGAGAGTCCATAGAGAACCCCAGAATTCACAGCCTGGTTTACAGAAGGCCTCTGTATGCTCCCTGAAAGTGATGATCTCAAGGAGCACACAAAGATGAAGGAAGTCCAGTGGGTAGAAAAGAAGGACCACGCATTTCCTTCCTAATGGGAAAGCTTCACCTCTTTGAAGGTGGCCGTCCACCACAGTGGTAGCCTGAAGAGGCAGCTCTTTGATATGCGCATTGCCAGAAGCCATGGCTGACAGCTGCCTGGGCAAGGGTGAGATGCAGAGGCCAGTGGAAGCTCAGAGGTGTGTTCACAGCACCCAAAAACTACTTTTGGGTGCTGAGATTTTTGTATAAGAGCTTAACTGACTAAAGCTTTCTTAAAAACTAGACCCAAAATGTGTGCAATGGTTGTGAATCTTATGCCACTCACTCTGGCGTGTAAAGATGTCATGCTAGCTTTTTAAAATTAAATTAATTATAATTTTTAACTTCCAGCTGGCCAGAATGAGGGAAAAGTCAACTTCAGTCATTGTTATTTTTTAATTAAAAAAAAATTAACCATTTAGTGCATTTTTAAAATTGTAACATTTTTTTATTGAGGTAACATTGTTTTACAGCACTGCATATGATTTACAGCACTGTAGAGATTCACATCACTTCAAATGTATTTTACCATACCACACCCACTATCAAAGCTCCCCAAATCTTCTACCATAGTCCCTTGGGATTCCTCCCCACTTTGCTCGCCACACCCAACCTTCCCTTTCTGGCCACCTCAATTTTTTGTTTTGTTTTGGTTTTGTCTCTTCTTTTGCTTTGTTTCTTTATTTTCCACACATGAGTAAAATCCTGTATTTGTCTTTCTCCTTCTGATTTGTTTGGCTTAACATAATTCTCTCTAGTTCTATCCACGTAGTTGCAAATGGAAAGATTTCTTCTTTTTTTAATTGTTGAATTGTGTATACTTACCACATCTTCTTAATTCCCTATCTTTCTTTGGGTACTTGGGTTGTTTCTGAGAAACAGGGCAAGCTAGGAATTAGGCAGTTTTAGGGACAGTGCAGGAGGGGACCTCTGAAGAATTTAGGGAGGCTTCAGAGATAAGGACAACCCAGGGAAAGTAACCAATTCCACTAGGAAAAACAAACATCCCAGGACCAAGGACAACATTGTTAATGCTAGTCCTGGTTTCCTTCAGGTGGTAAAGGGAGGTAGAGACTAGAGAAATGGAGTGTGGTTTAATTTATGGACAACTTAGAAGGGCAGCTGTTTAACTTCAATGTAGAGATGCTCACCCCGGAGGACCAGGCCCTAAAGATAAAGCGATAAGCATAACAAATGGGGAAAGACAAACCTGTTAGATAAGGAATGTGAAGATCCCGCACTCAGTAGCAAATTAAGTGAGACAGCCGAGAACTAACCAATCACAAAGAGACTGGTGGAGTTTTAGAATAATGAGGGAAAAAAGGTCTATATTCTCTGAGACACAATTCCACTTTGGCTTCCTTGCCCCTCCCAGGCCTGGTTCCCTGGCCTGGGAGTCCCACTTTATTTCTGCTTTTTTTCTCCTCAATAAACTTTTTCTTTCTATAAACAAACTGCCTCTTCTCGCTTGCTCGCCTGAGCGTCTGCGAAGTTCCTGCTGCAGCTTCGTGAGACACCAACCCGTGGGGGTCTAGTGGCTGGGGCTCAGGACTGCCCTGCAGCCTGGGATCGGTTCCTGGCTGGGAGACTAGGCCTGACAATTCCAGTATCATTTCCATAATTTGGCTATTGTAAATAGTGGTGCAATGAACAAAAGTAGAAGTTTATATATCCTTTTAAGTGAGTGTTCTTATATTCTTTGGATAGATGCTAAGGTGTGGAGTTGCTGAATCTCATGGTAGATCTATTTTTAAGATTTTGAGAAACTTCTGTCTGATTTTCACAGAGGCTGGACCAGTCTACATTCCCACAGCATTCCACCAGCAACCCCCAGAAGGTTCCTATTACTTCACACTCTTGGCCATGCTTTTATTTATTTATTTATTTTTTGATACGGACCATTCTCACTGGGTGAGCTGGTATTTCATTGTGGTTTTGACTTGTATTTTTATAATTATAAGTGACAATGAACATTTTTTCATATGGTGGGCCACCAGTGTATCTTCTTTGGAGAAGTGTCTATTTAGTTCTCCTGCCCACTTTTTCATTGGAATTTTTATTTTCTTTTTGTTGAGTTGTATAAGTTGTCTATATATTTTGGAAATTAACCCCTTGTTGGATGTGTGATATACAAACATTTTCTCCCACTCAGCAGGGTGTCTTTTTATTTTAGGGATAGTTTTGTTATAGCCTTAGTAATTGTTAAGACTCTGTGGCCACCCTCATCCATTCATAGATTTCAGGGGTCATAGGCTGGGAGGTACCAACAATCCTCAGCCCACAGTGGTTAAGGCTGACATATATGTCCAGTGTCCTTTGAAAGTGGCCAAACCTATGGTCTTCTTGTGCCATGGGAATTTTTTTATAGTTGGAAATCCTGGTAGGTTTTTCCCTCCCTAAAGATCACTTCCTGTCACTGACCAGGCCCGGTCCCTGACTTGGGTGCCTTTAACAGTGACCATGGGTCTTTACTCCTTGCAGAGCCTCTCTTCCTGCTTTCATTGAGCTCTCTGCCCTCCTAGGAGAATTGTTTTGTCCCCTGAACACCCTTTCTCACCCAGATTCATAGCTTAACCTCTTCGGTGAGTGCAGGCTTTCACTGAGGCAAGGCCAGAGCTAGTCTTC